TAGGCTGAAAATGGATTAATAGGTTATATTCCTTGATAACATTTTCAGGTTAACAGGGAGATTCAGTATCTCCAAACAAGGTAGTTAGCAATGTGAAAATCTCAGATGGCCAGGCATGACTTGCAAGGGAGATATATTTGGACAAATATAGGCTTGGGCACAAGATGCTTTGAAATGCCAGCATTAGAGGCAGGCTGAGGAGGAGAGCAAATCAAGTCTGAATAGGACAGGCCTTGAGGAGTTCACGTCAAATCTAGCTCTGCCACCAAAGCCCCTGGGCACATGCCGACTCTATAGAGATGTTCCCACACATGGGCACCCCTTCAAGACACGGATAGATAAATGTTTCACCTAATTTCATAGAGACAGAGAAAATTAAACAAAATGAGAACAGAGGAATATGTTTCAAATGAAAGAACAAGGAAAAAACCCTGAAAAAACAACTAATGAAATGGAGATAAATAAATCACCAGATAAAAGTTTAAATTATTAGTAATAAAAATGCTAATTTAACTTGGGAAAAGAATAGATAAACTCAGAATTTTCACAAGGGACTAAAAAAAAAAAAAAACAACCCAGTCAGAGCTGAAAACTACAACTGAAATGAAAAACACACTAGAAGGAATTAACATCAGACTGGGTGATATAGAAGAATGCTTAAGCAATCTGGAAGATAGAATAATGGAAATCATGAATCAAAACAGCAAAAAGAAAGACAAATTCTAAAAAATGAGAATAAGGGATCTCTTAGACAACATCAAGTATACCAATATTTGCATCGTAGGAATCCTAGAAGGAGAAAAGAGAGAGTACAGGATTGAAAATACATTTGATGAAATTATAAATGGAAACTTCCTGAAGCTGAAGAAAGAAACAGATTTCCAGGTGCATGAAGCAAAGAGACTCCCAAACAAGGTGAGCCCAAATAGACTCACACCAAGACATTTCATAATTAAAATGGCAAAAATTAAAGGTAAAGAGAGAATTTTAAAGACAGAAGAGAAAACAAGAGTTGCATACAAGGGAAGCCCCATAAGGTTGTCAGCGGATTTTCTGCAGAAACTCTGCAGGCAAAAGGGAGTGGCAGGATATATTTAAAGTGCTGAAAGGAAAAAACCTGCAACCTAGGATACACTACCAGCAAGTTTATCATTCAGAATTGAAGGAGAGGTAAAGAACTTCTCAGACAAGCAAAAACTAAAAGAATTCATCAATATTACACCAACCCCACAAGAAGTGTTAAAGGGTCTTCTCTAAGTGGAAAAGAAAAGGCTATAGCAAGAAATAAGTATCTATAGGAAAGGAAAAATCCCCCTAGTAAAGGCAAATATATAGTGAAGGCTGAGGATCAACTTAAATAAGGTGGTACAAAGATTTAAAGATGAAAAATTGTAAAATCAAGTATAACTGCAGTAAGGGATATACATGAAGATGTATGATATGACATCAAAAACACAAAGCGTAGGGGAAGCGAGTAAAAAAATGTAGATCTTCTAGAATGTGTTTGACCTTAAAGGACTAGCTACTTGAAACAAATAGATATAGTTACAGGTCAACATATATGAACCTCATGTTAACATAAATCAAAAACCTACAATAGAAACACAAAAACAAGAAAGAAAGGAACAAAAACATACCACTAAAAACATCATCAGGGGCTTCCCTGGTGGTGCAGTGGTTGGGAGTCCGCCTGCCGATGCAGGGGACACAGGTTCGTGCCCCGGTCCAGGAAGATCCCACATGCCATGGAGCAGCTGGGCCCGTGAGCCATGGCCACTGAGCCTGCGCGTCTGGAGCCTGTGCTCTGCAACGGGAGAGGCCACGGCAGTGAGAGGCCTGCGTACAGCAAAAAGAAACAACCAAAAAACCCAAAAACAAACAAACAAAAAATCATCAAATCGCAGGGGAAGAAACTAAAAGAAGAAAAAGGAACAGGGAATAATGACAAAAACAACTGGAAAACACATAATAAAATGGCAATAAGTACATACCTACCAATAATCACTTTAAATATCAATGGACTAAATGCTTCAATCAAAAGACATAAGGTGGTTGATTAGATTAAAAAACCAAACCAAAACAAGACCCATCTACATGATGCCTACAGGAGACTTACTTCAGAGCTAAAGACACACACAGACTGAAAATGAGGGGATGGAAGAAGATATCTTATGCAAACTGAAGTGAAAAAAATTGGGGTAGCATTATTCAAAACAGACAAAGACTTTAAAACAACATCTATAACAAAAGACAAAGGGGACACGGTATAATGATAAAGGGATCAATCAATACGAGAAGAGAATATAACAGTAATTAACATATATGTACCTAATATAGGAACACCTAAATATATAAAGCAGATATATAGGGAGAAATGAACAATAATACCATAATAGTAGGGGACTTTAACACCCCACTTCCATCAATGGATAGATCATCCAGACAGAAAATCAATAAAGAAACTGGCCTTAAATGGTGCATTAGATCAATTGGAATTAGTAGATATCTACAGGACACTGCACCCCAAAACAGCAGAATACACATTCTTTTCAAGACCACATGGAGTGTTCTCCAGGATAGATCACATGCCAGGCCACAAAACAAGTCTCAACAAATTTAAGAGGCTAGAAATTATATCCAGCATTTTTTTTTTCTGACCACAATTGTATGAAACTAGAAATCAATTACAGGAAGAAAAGTGGGAAAATACAAACATGTGGAGACTAAACAGCATGCTTTTAAAAAACCAGTGGGTCAATGAAGAAATCAAAGAGGAAATCAGAAAATACCTCGAGACAAATGAAAATGGAAATACAACTCCCCAAAACCTATGGAATGCAGCAAAAGCGGTTCTAAGATGAAAGTTTATAGTGATACAGGCCTTCCTCTAGAAACAAGGAAAATCTCAAATAAACAACCTTACATACCATCTAAAGGAATTATAAACAGAAGAACGAACAAAGCCCAAAGTCAGCAGAAGGAAGGAAATAGTAAAGATTACAGAGAAAATAAAATAGAGACCAAAAAAAAAAAAAAATTAGAAAAGGTCAATGAACCTGAGCTGTTTTTTTTTAAAAGGTAAAATCGATAAGGCTTTAGTCAAACTCATTAAGAAAAAAAAGAGAGAAGACTCAAATGAATCAAATAAGAGATTAAAGAGGAGAAATTACAGCTGATATCACAGAGATATAAAAAGTCATAAGAGAATACTATAAACATATGTCAGCAAATTAAACAACCTGGAACAAATGGATAAATTTCTAGAAACTAACAATCTTCCAAGACTGAATCTGGAAGAAATAGGTAATCTAAACAGATTACTCATTAGTAGTGAAACTGAATTAGTAATCAAAAAATTCTCAGCAAACAAAAGTCCAGGACTGGATGGCTTCACATAGGAATCATATTTGCAAATGATACAACTGATAAGGGCTTAATATCCAAAGTACATCTCAGACAACGATATCGAAAAAATCTGATTGAAAATGGGCAGAAGACCTGAATAGACATTTTTTTCCAAAGAAGAAATACGGATGACCAACACCTCACACCTGTCAGAATGGTTATTGTCAAAAAGACCACAAATACCAGATGTTGGTAAGGATGTAGAGAAAAGTGAACCCTAGTACACTATTGGTGGGAATATAAGTTGGTGAAGTCACTGTGTAAAACAGTATGGATATTCCTCAAAAAACTTAAAATAGAACTACCATATGATCCAGCAATTCCACTCCTGAGTATATATCCAGAAAATATGAAAACACTAATTTGAAAAGATACACACCCCCC